ATTGTGTCTGGGTAGTCCAGGGGTTGCGACATAGCGCAATTCAAACTCATCACGACGAATTAATGGCAAAATCTTTCCAGTGCCAGGGCCATCAGGCATCGTGGCTGTGATATATCACCTTATATAGGCGTCCCACTCCAATCAGAGTTTGTTGGTGGCCTGGCTCAACGGGAAGGCTGGTGCGGAGATTTTTGATGTCATATCACAGACTTCGATCACCCAACAGACTACATGCTCTCTATGATTCATCTAAGAGCACGCGATTCAGTAGCTCACATCCATAGAAGACATAATACCATGTTCTTGGATTACCTATAGGAGGTCTAATTCTCTGTCGCCAGGTTGAGTGACCTGCCTGTTGAAAGCGTCAGCGTTGTACGAATACGTTGCAATTCAATTGGGATACCCTCCTTTAGCCTCCGGGGGGGAGGAGCAGATTAATGCCGGTGGGATCTAATAATTCCTAGAAGAGTTTTTTCTCTTCTCTTTGGAGGGCTTCTGTAGATGAAACACTCTTAAAGACCATGATCAGTTGCGTTGCATTGGCTGATGGACGGCTATGGCTATGCTTAAGAGGACTTGGCTACCTTCAAGGGTACTCATAAGCCCAATTGCCCGGTCGATCGCTAGCCTTGCAACACAAGCTCTCTCCTTTGAGCCAAGACGGATCTGCAGCGGGCAGCGAAGGAGAAAAGAAGGCCACCTGCATCGGATGAAGCCGCACGCGCCAACGACGGGCATCCATGCACGATGGCATTGTGGCGGTATTTCCGTATCGCATGCGGCAACCCAAATCGTATAATCATCCAACCACAGCGATATCCGACGGCTCAGCCAGCAGTGATGTCCCAATTGGGTACAAAACAAGCTTTGGTTGTATTCAGCTTCCTTTATGTCATATTGTGAGGCTTTATTTAGTATCTGCCATTGCTCATCGCGTAGACAACGTTGCATTCGTCTCATCTTCTGAACCTTGGACTTGGGCCATCTAGCAAACCTGCCAGATGACAGGCCAAAGTTTCCCCTCTTCTGAAAATGATGCAATCTTGTACTTCTGATGAAATGGTATCCCGGAATCCAAATCTGCCGGGCCCGATTTAGCATCGAGGCACCTCACAGGTGTAGAGGACATGCAAGCAAGCCCAGACCTTCTACGAGCGACAAGAACCCCAATCCCATGTTGAGCACACATGCTTGTACTCGTGCAAGGAGTTTGCGGCATTTGTAATTTCGATTGCTCACATTTCGCCATTCAAATGGTTGGCGCGTCACTAAACTCTTACAAGCTTCTTTCCTCTGCCCGGGTGAGGTTAGAGGCCGGTGGCAGGACGCTAGCAGCCGAGTGATCAGGGAGCTAGAACTTTTGAATCTTGAATAAGTCTGGTGTAAGCGGACAATCCCGAGCTTTCTGCGAGACATCGGGGCTTTTTTTCTTTTCACCGAGGTGTTCGTCACACCCTGAATCATCCCAGGTAAGTACGTTTCTTCTGCATGAATAATCTAAGGTAATTAACCCACAAAGAACACACGTCAAGAGGGTTCCGCGGTTCAGACGAATCGCGAACGGACCATTTCTAAGAGCGGTGACTTCACCACGTAGGCAGACAATCAACTGCCGTGTTCGGCATTAGGGGGGAAACGCAACGTGGGGCGCTACCGAATTCCCGCTATCAGATTCGATGATCCTCGCTGGAGGCGCACGGGAGGGCGTCGACACTACCAAGCCTTATTTTTAACCTTTTGCTGAACATTTGCACTTTGCAAAACAACTTTGATCCTAGTAAGGCCAGCTGAGTTGATTGAGGCGCGATGGACTTCCCGAAGCCTCCGGGGGCTGTAAGCGCTTTAAGTGAGACAACGTGGTGAGCGCTGTGTGCTTTTTCGGAGGTTGTGAGTAATCTCAAGGTAGCATGTGGCTAGTCGTTGATCAGATCAATATATTCGTCCACACCGGTGCCGTACAACCGTGCGTGGGTCTTTGCCTTTCCCGTGCTAACCGTCTCACGGTTCGCGATAGACCCAAAAGAGCGAAAACGCGTCATCTAGACTACTATCGCCCCCGGCTTCTACTGTACTGCTCGTGCTCCACGCGGCTGGCCCCATGTCATCCACATATCGCGGTCCGGACGCCAAGGCTGGGAGCTTAATCGGTCCCGCCGAATTCCTCTCCGCCTTGTGATAGTAGATGGCATGGATTGGGTGAGGGGGGGTAGACTGGCAGATGGTCAAGGCACGGCATAGCTAGCTCGGGAGCCATCATATGTCGTTTGTGTGCTTTGGGTGACTTTGGAGGCAGGTTCTAAGTTCGTCTTATGGCGAATGCGAGGTATAAGAAGGCCCTTCAATCCGGTCTGTAAGGGATTGTGCTTCATCTCAGAATCATCACCTTTCAGATCATCTTGGAAACAGACACTCAATAATCAGTCTTTCGTTACAGCGCAATCTTTTCGACTTCGTCTTCTTCCAGTTTATTCTCCATCACGATGTATACCCACGGTGCTTTCCTCCTCGCTAGCTTGCTTGCGGCTCTGCCGCAGAGCCATGCCGTTCCGGCACCACAGTAAGTACTCCCACGAGCATACGATTACTAGGAGAGTGTGCCAACAGTTGAATAGAATGGGAGACTATGGCGAGAACAAAGGCCCCGTTGGCGGTGTCGATCCGCCCATCCCCACCGTAACTACACCTACGGGAAGTCTCAGAGGAGATTCTAGCCTTCTCGGAGGCAACGCAGCGCGACCTGACCCCGAAACTGGCGGCTCCGCCAATGTCGACGACGTTACACTCGTGCCCGGCCAGGAAGCAGACGGAAAGCTCGGCCTGTACCTGAACTTTGATGGTGTCGACGTCCCGCAACCGATCCGCGGCGGACTAGGATCTCCGGACCCGGGCCCAAGTACGTTGCATCCCTAGCGGGGAGGCGTTGAAGGGAGATAGATCATTGCAGGGAAGAGATGCGCTAACACATAATTCCCGCAGGAACCTACGACTATGAGAAGCTTAACCCCGATCTTTTCGCCCCGCCCGGCACCGACAAGGGCGATGTCGAGAACGCCATGTGGCCGTTGGGCCTTTCGCACAACCGTCTCGGCAGCCAAGAGGGCGCCGGCTGGGCGCGACAGCAGAACACTAAAGTCCTACCTGTCGCTTCTGCGATGGCGGGTGTCGATATGAAGTTGCAGCCTAACGCTTACCGCGAGCTTCACTGGCACACCTCGGCGGAGTGGGCGCTCATGCTCAAGGGATGCTGTCGCATCGCAGCGATGAATGAGGATGGAAAGAGCTTCGTCGACGATGTGTGCGAGGGTATGTCTAGCTCGACCTGATTTATCTTTCTTATAAAGCTTACCAAGCTACATAGGCGATGTATGGTTCTTCCCGAAGGGTGTCCCTCACAGCATTCAGGCGTTCGACCAAGGCACAGAGTTCCTCCTCGTCTTCGACCAGGGAAGCTTCAGCGAAGAGAACACATTTCTCGCTTCTGAGCTATTCTTGAGAAACCCATTGTCCGTTCTTTCCAAGAATCTTAAGACGGATGTTTCTGCATTTGACAAGATCCCCAAGGATCAGCTTTATGTAAGTCAAAAGATGAATTGGCACGTCGGTGCATTGGCTTACTCATTTCCAGATCTTCAATGGTACACCTGCGCCGAAAGACATTGAGAAGCAGAATCAGACCTCATCGGCAGGATCGCTGACTGGTGCTGAATCATACACCTATCATTGGTCGCAGCAGAAGCCTTTCCAAGTCCCCGGCGGTTCCGTCAAGATCCTCGACCCGCAAACGTTCCCCATTGCGGAGAACTTCTCGGCTGCCCTGGTCGTCGTCCAGCCCGGCGCCATGCGCGAGATCCACTGGCACACCACAAGCGACGAGTGGAACTACTTTTTGCAGGGCTCCGGCCGCATCACCATCTTTGAAGCCCCTGAGGCCTCGCGTACCTTTGACTTCACCGCCGGCGATGTTGGTTACGTGAAGGTTGGTGACAGTCATTACATCGAGAACACTGGTACCGAGGACGTCATCTTCCTTGAGGTCCTTCAAGCGCCCAAGTTCTCGGACATCAGCGTTGCACAATGGCTGGCCCTTACCCCGAAGCAGGTCGTCAAGGATACCCTTGGCCTCTCTGACGAAGTGATTGCTGCGATTCCCAAGGAGAAGGAGTACATCAAGGTTGGCAACACCAACATGACGGCGCTGGCTGATGGTGGACGTAACTTGAAGAAGTTCAAGGCCTAGTTCCTTGCCTGATTTTCTTCATTTCTACTGTAAATATTTTCAGACGCGCGACTTTTGCGAGTTGGGGCTGGCATGGAGACAGGAGTTAAGTCGTTCGGTAGCGTGTGTATTTCAGTATCAACAGCAAGCGATATCTCCATGCGAGGTCTCTGACAGGAAAGATTGTGACACGTTTGTGTAGGTTCAAGCTCCAATGGCGAGCATGCTGATTTAACTTACGAAACAAGCCGAGGTTGACTTTGGTAAACCGTGTTAAAATGATCTTTCGCTGCTTGTAGGTGAAGTTCGAATTCCCGCTCAATAGACTTTTAGTAAGTGCGATGGCCCATAAGAAGCTTGGAGGCTCTAGGGACCTCCACCGGCTGTAAGGAGTGAATCGGGGGTTACTGCATCCGGTCAGCGGAGAAATAACAGGATTCCCGCAGCCGGGGCAAAAAAGCAGCCTCGAACTTCTCGAAACCTCAGCTATAGGGCAGTCCTATTCATCGCATTCGACGACCTTAAAGCAAGGATACAGTGTAGAGTCTCAGAACAGAGGATGTTAAGGGGGTTGAGCTATGGAGCTGGTGTTATCGAATCGAACTCGGGACCATGCAACTTCTACGGAGATATTGTCTAAGTCTCAATGATAAAGCGATCGACCATAGTTGTGGCGAATCGAGATAGCTCTTGAGTGAAACGTTTTGGTCTTTTAGTCAAATGCAAGGCACGCCATGCTCTATCTACATTAAAAAGAAAATTCAGAGACAAAGTCATAAGCTCAGTTGAATCCAGGACCTCTGCCAGCCTGGGTTCCGCAGACGCAGTCAAAGTCGTTGTTCGCCTTGCTGTTGCACTCGTTAGAACAACAATAGCATCGATGAGTCCGTGGAGGTAAACTTACTCAATGCAGACAGCCAAGTTTGCGGTTGTGTCCGAGCACTATGAAGATGTTTAGTTCGAGTTATGAGTATAAGTCCTAATGAGTAACCTACATGCTTAATGCACTGGCCCTTGCAGCCATCCCGCTGTTCTTGAGTCTTGCAGTTTTTGAAAAGCTACAAAAGTCAGCTATGGGAATTTTACAATCAGCAAGTCTCAGATCGGGACTGACCTCAGCATTTGAAGGTGTACGGCACTCGACAAAAGCCATGGCGGCTCCGGCGGAAGCGAGGAGGAGAATGAACTTCATGTTGACTGGTTGGAAGTGAAATTGATAGGCTCGGTGTATGGTATTGTTGATGATGATGATTTTGCTTTTTTTTGAGACGAATGAGCTGCGATTAAGCTTACTTATGTAATTGGATTGAGTTCAGCGAATTTTCCGCAGCTCTCGATAAACTTCAGATGAGGAAAGGATGGTATCAAATTGATTGAAAACCCGACGGGATGAACGGGTCATGGCATGCTGTATGACTCTGTTGTTCCACTCTGAACTTTAAATCTGTAGGGCTTTGCGAGCAACCTGCTGACTTTAAAACCGAGCCGCTATTAAGTGAAGCCGCTAATCCAGCTCGGCTTCGGGAACGGATCACAGAAAGGCAGACCCACTATCTCCATCTTGGCGATGACTCGTGTCAGCATCAAAGAGAAGGGTTGAATGACGGGCGCCGTCAGCTGCGTGGAGTCTGAAACCGCCCTGGCATTCAACAAGTTCCAGGATCATTCAGGTACGAGAACCAAGTTGCCTAGGGATCAGACCATAAAGAACGTCTTCGCTGAGTAATTTTATGGATTCTTTGCTTTTGCACTCCCAGTCAGCGCATTGGTATTCAACGAGGCAACGGGACGGGACTTCCGACCAAATTAAGCGAGAGAATCGCAATGTTTCGATATTAATCTGCAATGATTGAAATCGACTAGAATCACGTGTACAGATAGTGTCAGGCTCTGCCTAGATAGGAGATAGCATAAGGGGCAGCAGGAGGAGGACTAGGCAACAAAGGAGCAGCTCAGGTATTTATAGAGCGCTGAGAGTCCACTTGAGGGAAGAGGCAGATTTCAGCAATGCATCTTCTAGACCCTAACAGCAGTTGGCCTCTGTGAGCTTCTTCCCTATATCGTATACCTACCTTCTTCCAAAAAAATCCGGAAACTATTGATAAGGTATTGACAGATAGGTCGACCGATGGGATAATCATTTTTTTCAACTGGACAACTTTCCAACAAGCGGCTTTGAACACATTTTTCGATCTCGAGTTCATCCGGCAGCCGGCTTGGTCCTGTCCTTATCGTCAATAGTGGAACTTTGGCACTTGGAAGCGCTTTGACTTTCAGTTGGCAAGGATCTGTTTCTGCTCGCTTGAGACAGATATCTGGTTTGGGGCCGGAAGTAAAGTTAATTAAATATGGCTTTACCAGGTAAGTGATACTACTGCGTCAATAGCACAGCCTCTGTGTCTCTTGTGCCATATTTATCAGTGTGAAGTCCGCCGACAAATAGTTTTCAGGCCTGAAACCGGAGGTAGCTGGCTCTTTACAATCTATCAAGGTAAAATGAGTTGTTGGCACGGAGGATGTGTTCGTTGCAGTCACATTACAATCAAAATTGATGCGAGACTCAACGGATTGAGCTGATATAAGGTAGTGGATGTTTCATCGATATCGGAACTGCATGGTTTTATCAATAAATTGAGGCGGCTCTCTCATGGCTCTCTTAGGGATCAATGCACGATGACACCAAGCGGATGCGTACAGGAATATGTCTTCGGCATTGAGAACTTTAGAACGTTGGCTAGGGACGACAAAGCTAATAGAGATGAATTCAATTCTCTGCCCTTGTTTTTGCAAATTGAAAGGAATTTGAACTTGTCGAGCAGCTGCTAAACGCTGGTGAGACATTTTAGTCGCCCGGACGGGCGCTGAGGATTTCTCGAGGCGCACTTGTCGATCAGTGGCGCAAGGCCCTCCCAAATCCTTAGCCAAAGTCTCCACATTTGAGTTGTAGATTACGTCTAGAACAGCCGCCATTGCGGGGTGATAGATTCGTTTCACGGCTGGTTCCGCGAGGCAGCAATGTTTCCCGTCGTTCTGGGTTCTGTGGAACATGAAGTAACTTTCTATTCCATGTCTGGGAATGGGGCCGGCTCATTTCTCTCGCCTCCTCTTGATGGTATGCGTGCGTTATTGAGATCTCCTTCTGTCTCAGAAATACGCAGATCCGACAATGATGACAAGCTGTCTAAAGTACACTACGGATATGTGGCGGCGACCGAGAAGGCCTCACCGCATGTCATTTGCAGCGGGGTTGTGCAGCTGGGGACATGGGCAAGAACGCCATGCTGTCTTGAAATTCTGCCACCTACGAGACATGGCTGCCCTAATGAATGATCGGTCTTGGCAATCCCTTCAGCTCCAAGATAACCTTAGCATACGTGCATACCTATGCCCTAGGCTTTGGCGGCTAGCCTCAGATCGTCTGACGCCTCAAAGTGTCTAAAATGTGCTTGTGGTATGGGAAAAGCCGCCATGGGAATCTGCTGTGGCAAAACGGGCGTCCCATCATGTGAAGTGAATCGCATCACGATTCTCAGTGTGAGTTTAGGTACCTGCATTTAGTTGAGAAAAGGTAAAGACTTGCATAGATTCACCTGCCACCGTGGCTTTTGTTGCAGGTCGTGACTCATCGGACGAAGACACAATAGCCACAAATTGGTGATGATTCAAGTGGTTTTTGAAAGGTCCAGTGGTGTTGAAGCGAAAACTACAACATACCAGCTAGTCGCTCAGAAGAAGAAGGGTTTTCACCCGATAAACTTTTAAATATTGACACTGAATTTGCGATCTTGGAGTCGTAGGCAAGCCGTCGGTGGCGAGGTATGAACTTGATTTAAGTTTGTGGCTAATACAGCTGAACTCGCTAGTAGGGATGAGCGAGTATCCAAGCCAAATCGGTGCAAGAGGCTGCTTCCAGCCGAGTTATGGGCAGAGAATCTGGTATCTAAGTGGTGGCGACCGCATACATGGTGATAAGCAGGGCATGAGAGCTTGACGGGTGTTCGTGAAAGACAGTGCCACATAAGTAAGGTGATTTTGATGGCGTATAAGAAGACGATTTTCCATGCATGTCGTGAGCAAATAATAAGAAAGACTTCTATGCCATCTCTCAATCAGATCAAATATTTTGTAGTACCATATTCGCTTATTCAAGCTATTAGCAATGGACGCCAGCAACTCCAACCTTACAGACCTCAAATACGGATATGATTTCGTGGTCAGCACAACCCAAGCCAGCATTAACTCTGGCTTGTTGGAATATCTTTGGGAAAGTTACCAGCCAATTAACTATATTTGCTATATCTCAGTAAGTATTCCCAGATGAAAAACTATGGCAAAATGCCAGGTGGGAGATCAATATTATCGACCAACTGCTTACATAGCCGCCACAGGACTCGAATAACGGAAACGCCACAACCCAGATCAGTCTCGATGAACTGTTGAAGAGGACAGACGGGGTCAACCCGTTTGAGATCCTGGATGGTGCATCGCCGAATGACCCTCGAATTGAAGAGCTCACTCGAAACAACTTCGTCGTTGGCGTGAAGATTCGCATTGGTGTGCCCCCAGGCGTAATGCCCAAGGAGCTTCCTCCAATCCTGGAGCTCGGCAAGAGTGACGGCAAGTCTCTCTTCCGAATATTTTGCTCCGAGTTCCAGGTTATTCAGAATACGACTAGCGAAGGACCATCTGCAAACGGACGTTGGAACGTCTGGAACCAGCCCTCTGGATCGCCGTGGTATATCGAGACGGACGTCAACATCCTCAATAAGGACCTTGACTGGGGCCTCGAGACACCCTACTTTAATCACCGCTCAGAGCTTAAGGGAAACCTCAAGTCTCAATTCAGCCATCTTCCTCCCAGCAAGTCTTACAGCCTTCAACAAACTCTTATGGATCTGGATACCGCTGCCGATCAAAGCACACCAAATTTTGTGGGGATTCCTGCCGGTTCCCCCGTCCTAGAAATCCTGCAGAAGAACTTCGTCGACCTCTACAGCAAAGCAGCCAAGAGCTACGGACAACCGATTCTTGCAGTTGCCGCCGTTGCTAAAGACCATCCAGATCCTTCCACACTCCAGGTGACTTCGGTTGAAGTGGGCATCAGCCGGTACAAGGACTCCAAGGCTTGCGTCGTCAACAATCCGACTCCCGAACAGGCCGCCGCAGCGACCCTCGACCATTTCTGCATGACGAACTGCCACAGTGCTCCGGCAGTCTCGGATCCCCACTGGCACTGGAACTGGGTCCAGCCCGGGGAGGTGAAGAGCCAAAGTGGTGTCATTGCCATCAAGCGGAGTGTATTCGCCGAGCAGTTGATGAACATCATCCTGCCGTCTGCCCGGAAGTCTTGCCTCACCTCTAAAGTTCACATCGATTATGACGATTACCTGGGCAACTGGAAACAAATGATACAGTTTTCTCCTGGTCAATGGCCACAAACCAGAGATGTGCGAACCCCTGATAACGGCGAATGGATAATTGACATTACTTGGTCGGCGGAGGGCTATCCCGATGTGAAATGCGAGAACTCAGAGATGTGGGGTCGATTTTATGACAGCATCGAAGTCGTCCCTCACTACTATTGTGAGGTAAAGGTCAATGGGAGTATCATCACCATCAGCCAACGATTGTGGGTCGTTGTCTCATTGATGTGTGAAGGTATCACACAGTCACCACTGAATGCATACGACGTCACCATCACCGACACCTACGACTTGTCTGTGGACCAGACTGGCCAGCTGAGTATCGAACGTGACAAGAATAAGATTCAGAAACAAGACAATTCCCAATCCGCCGAACCAAATTATTGGGGAAACTTGTACGCAGGAATCACCGACCATTTGAAGGACATCAAGGCCGAGGTTACACAGATGGCCAACCTGGACCTGGGGAGTATCCAATTTCCTCCGACTAACAATTTAGTGTTCCCTGGGGGCAAGGTATTCACGTACACATCAGCCAGATTCTCCAACCACCAAGACTTGATCTGCGACATCACCTACACGGCGCCAGCCAAGCCTTTCCAGCCGCCGCCTCGGGCAGATGCCCCAGTTACCGACCCTTCGTCGGACAATCTTCCGACGAGAACCGCACCGAAGCTTCCTGAAGCCACCGGTCCGCCGGCATACTCCATGGCCTATACGACCGATCTCATTCAGAACTACATTCAGGGAGAGATCGTGGCTCCTACAG